GTAATGGATGTACCTTTAAATTGTTAAACCATGATTTGAGTTGTTTGTTACAGGAATTACTATGATACAGCAGGAACCATCTGAACCAATGGAGGAGAAACCTGACAAGAAGCAGTGCAAGTGCAGAAGTGACCTGACCTGAACTGGATTTTGTGCCTGGTAACTCCAAGCAACACACTATCTCTTCTGTCCTGAGTGACCAGCAGAACAGATGGAACCCAAAGTCATGAACTAGATTAATTAGCAGACATTGTGTGGACATTTTGCAGGGGTGATCCATAGGCCAAGGGAATAATATCTCAACCCATGAGGGTTAAGCAACTGCTGAACTAGCACATGGTTCTATGAAGTCAGTGATGTTAAAACAAAAGGGGGAATAGGGGCCTTGACCCCTCAGGAACAAATTGCCAAAGATACATATGTTAAATTGCTGGTCTGATAACAGTATCCCAATTCTAAAACATTTTGCCTCCGTGGCAGAAGACAAAATTAATGTGTCTAGCAAAGCCACCATTTCGATCAAAAATTTAAAATCAGTTAATTGTGTCATTGAGTGACTCCAGTTTTAATCTGTGTTCTACTATTATTAATGATACCATGTTTGTTACAATGTATGCAATTGCTAGTCTGACATAGTTTAGATATAATTTTTAAAGCAAAAAGGGGGATATGTTAGGGCCTGGCTAGCTGAGGAGCTGTAACTTGAGCAACAGTTAAAAGGAATTCTTAAGCAATGAAAACAAGACACACAATTAGGTCTCACTGACCTTGTTTCTATCTTCACATATTCCTGTGTCTTCAATCCATCACTTATAATGGTCTCATTTTCTCCTGCTGCCAGAGTTTTTAGGACTGGTTTGGTTTTACTGTTTTATAGAGAAGTCATTTTGCTAACAAGCTAAAAGAGTGCTATTAATTAGATTCTCATATATAATAATATATAGATAATCCTTGCTATCAGTTTCCCAGGATGTGAGAGCAGGATGCAGCTTAAAATTGTAACCTTTCACAAGAATTGTACATAGTGACAAGAGAGCAACCAGTCAAAAGTTGTGTGATTAGTGCATAGCTGCATGTAGGGGAGACTTTATACTATACATACTGTTAGGTGCCCAAAATAAAGTATATTTTTGGGTGGCCTAAAGATTTAGTTAAGGTTAATCATTTGTTTATTATATGTTTATTGTTGATGGTGATACCGTGTGTTTTAAGATTCATTTCTGGAAGGATTAGTAAAGCCATGAAGCAAGTCTGGATTGGGGATTTGTGGGAGAATTTCTGATTGCTAACAGACATGTGAGCAATCCAGCCTTGCTAGCAGGGCCTGAGCAAGCTGCAAGCTTATAATAGGTGTGTACAAAAGAATCACTTTTGTAAATAATAAAGGAGATTCACAAAGATAATAATGGTGTTGCCTTTTTGTACATGAACTCCTGCAGTGTTAGGTCATGGGTTGGACTCAATGATCAGAGTATGTTAAGGGGTTGGAATGGACCTTAGGGATCATCCAGCCCCAACCCCCTGCCCTGGGCAGGAACACCTCCCCCCAGACCAATTTGTTCAACCTGAGATTGGCTAAATCTCAAATCTGATTGAATAAAATATCACAGAGCTCTTTTCCAACCTTAATGATTCTGTAATTACACTTAACATCTTTTTCTTTAGCATGACTCAGTGCATTCCTATTTGCTACAAGAAGGATAAATGTTCTTTTGGATGAACACTGACTTTTCCAACTGTAAATCCCTCTAGATACACCAAGCTGGCAAACTGATCTGCAGGAAGTGCAAGCGGCAGGTGACGGAGCTGACGGGC